AATACTGGAAAGAGTAATAACAGTTACTCTGCTTTCCTAAAAATTGTTTTAAGAGAAAAATTTCAACTGAAAGCAGTAATTGCTGTTTAGTTGATGAATACCATGCTATTTCTTGTAAGAAAATGGCTAATATTACCGTGACATTTATACTACATGTTTCAACTCTTTAGAGTAATCATCTTGAGTCTGGAGTTACAGACAAATTCATGTGTAAAGAAATATGAATAAAGAATAAGAAATAAGAATATGAGGAAGAGGTAACAAAAATCCTTATTAAATGCTACAAGCAGAATTTTTTTTCTTTCTTTCCATATTGAAGCCATTAACATCTGTCGGATCTGAAATTACCCTACTCTGAGTAGATCTGTTTTATTTTATGAGTTCATATACTGCATTTTTCTATTAAAGGAGAAAAAACAGATTTACTTTGGGAATATTAATTCATTATCTATGGCTTATTAAACCATTGCAGGTTATTTAAAGGCAGAAAATATTTTTAGATTCTAAGAATTTCTTTCAAGACTATAATAGTTTAGTGGTACAATTATTACTGATTAACCCATATCTGGGAAGAGAAGAGGCAGAGCCATACCTTTTTCAAGGGTATTTGCACATATGCGAATATAATGAACTAACGGTAATTGGAACTTGGTGCTCTGATTAACACTTCTGAGCCATTAGTCACACATCCAAGTTTACAGCACCTGGTATTCCCAAGCAGTTATCCATCTATGTACTGACCAGGCTCAATGCTGCTTGACCAGTGGCCATAGGGGAACCAGTGTTTCAACATGATGTGGCTGTAAGCCTTGAGTATAGCAAATAATCATTTATGATAATTATTTAAAAACAAAAACAAATCAATTTTTTCTATATAAACTCAGAGATTCTACATAAGTTTGTTTTGGTTACTAATGAAGAATATTACAATTTATAACAAAATACATTTTATTTTTACTATCCTGTACAAACATTAGAATAGCTGTTCAAGAGTTTCACTATCTTGAAATTTATTGAGAGCTTATCTTATAAATACAGAATAAGTTAATAAAATTCTTACAAATGCGTTTCACAAAACCAGTTTAAAGTACATGAATATTTTATCCTGTTATCATTTATGCTGTGGGAAGAGCACATAATTTTATTTTATTTTCCATAAATGGAGAAAAAAAAATTACAAAAGGAAAAAAAGAACAATTAAGTTAGAAGCAAAAAGATAAAGGGAATTCCCCAAAATGTGGATGTAAGTAATAATAAGTAATGGCATATAACCATGAAATAAATTAATTTTCTTGATAATGTATATGTACATCATCATCAGATTATTTGAATAGAATTGATTTCTTTTTCCTATTTTTGTTCTTTGGAAGTGACTTAGAAATAAAAGCAAATAAAAATGAATGAAAAAAAGTAACTTTGAGTTTCAAATAGATGTGTTGGGCTGATTTTTCTTTTGTGGAGAAAAATCCATCTAAGCCATTGTTATTCCAACCAGTTCATTTATTAAATATTCATATGAAACATTTTGTCCTAGAATGCCCACAGTATAAATTAAGTGGTGGAAAGAAATTTCTTGAATATTTAATAATAGGGGTGGCTGGAATAAAGATGTCTCAGTGGATTTTTCTCAGGAAAAAAAGCATTGGTTCATATCTTAAGTCATTGGCAGTGTTACCAGATAAATGTTATCTTGGGAAGCAAGATACCCTATTGAATTAATTAATTAATATTAAATATTTAATTACTTAATTAATATTAAATACCCTATTGAATTAATTAATTAATTAATATTAAATGTTATCTTGGGGAAGTAAGATACCCTATTGAATACCACAGATTTGTTTGCTGATTTTAACCAATTCCATATGTCACCTAAGAGCTGGCTCATTATGCATTAGTAGAAGAAGTGGGAGAGCATTATATATGGATAGTGACACAGCTTTTTTTAAGTTTGAAAGTTGAAGCAGCCAAGGCTACTTGGGAGACACATCTCAGTACTTGACAATAAAGACTGTCTGAGCAAAATGAGTGAGCAGATCTCATGGTATTTCTAATCAGATTCCACTGTCAAGGTTATATGCTGCTTTTAACAAAATTTGTCACTATATTCAATTTTGTTGTTGTTGTAAAGAAGTGCAACAGAAGAAATTTTATGGTAACAATTTCTTCTCTCACACTTCCCACTTGTGGAATACTCTTCTGGCCTCTTGCTTTCTTGTGAACTTTAAAAATTTAAATGCAATGTTAATTATCATGTTTCCTTGAATATTATTTGTTTATTGTTCTCTCTCTTTAATAATGATTTTATCATATTCTTTCATTCTAAGTAACCCCTTGCATCTTAGTGGCTTTATTGCTTCGCTTGCAGTGAAATGATTTTAAAAAAAGAATCAGTATACCATATATCAGTCTCTTAAATAAACAATAAAATTTTAAGCAAAACTTAAATATGATTCTTTTCTTAATTAAAAAATAATATATATGATATACATATTATGTATAGATATTATATATATATGATATAATATACATATATATATATATATATATATATATATATAAATATATATATGATATATATAGAAAAAGTTGCAAATTAAAAAAAATAATGTTTTTTTTATGTTTGTTTACAAGTAGCGTCCGTTGCAAGATGCGGATGTCATGTGATATGGAACGCCACTGTGTTTGAATATTCTTAATGTAAATCTAACTGTAATAATATTTTAGATGTTGTTTAAAAAAGTAAAAAAAATTTAACTATATCTAAAAAAATGTTTAACTATTGAAATATTTATAAAGATTTAAAATACCCAAGTCTTTATTTAACCCTAGTTTATATGTATTTAATTTTAAAATCCAGTATTTTTCTTTTTTTCTGCGTGTGTATGTGGAACTGAAATCAGAATCTATCAATAAACATTTGCAGTTTTCTAATGAGTGTCCTGATTGATTAAAGTGTTCAGCTATGGGGGAATAAGGATTGTTTTGATGTATGGTTTGTTTATGATTGTTGAAGTGAAATTTCAAATTATTTCCAGATTCACCAATATATCCACTATTAGGACATATGGTGCAAAATAAATAGTAGATTATGTTATGGCTATCACAGGTGAGGTGAGGTGGGTGTATCTTGATATTGGTGTTGGGTACAGAAAATACATTATCTATTATTAAGTGCTTGCAAACTAAGCAATGAGGTTTGTTACATTTGTAATTTCCTGATTGGTTTGTATTGTTTAGATATTTGGTAGAGGTGAGGATAGCTGATAGGTTAGGTGATTGTTTCTTTGCATTTATGGGTGGTTTATCGAAAATGTTTTTGATCTTTTTGTCTAACTGAAGGTTCTTGTAATCCTTTTTTAATTTGTGAATAAGTGTGTGGGAATATTGATTGTGGTTAAAAACTATGGGAATCCGATTGTTGTTTTTACTTTTCTTGTATGTGAGAAGTGTGATACGATTTATGTGGATAGTTTTATTTAGTGCTTCTTTTATTATTTTTATTGGGTATTTACATTTTAGGAATTGTTTTGTTAAGTTATTAATGTTGTATAGAAAATCTAGATGGTCTGAGCATATGTGTTTGATTCTTAGAAATGAGATGTATACAATAGATTTTTTTTAATTTAAGGGGATGACAGCTGTTAAAGTGCAGGAATTTATTTTTCTACTACATTTGAATTGATGGATGCATACATACACACACACACACACACACATATATATATATATATTTACTTATTTGTGCTAGAACTTTCACACTTGAACTCTTGAAACTTCAACTTTCACTTTATCCTTCTGTATTATTACATTGTGTTATATAAAGATTCATTTTGTATTTTTCTACACTCTGTGAATTTTCTTTTAATCATTACACAAGACAAATATACACTCAAACAAAACATAGCAATATATGGTGGGAACAGACAGTGTCATAAAATAACCTTCCACAATACATGTATCATCATCTCTAATTGACATTTTTACTGTTGGTATCAAAGGATTAGCTACAATTTTTGATGTTTGCATTCAAAGTTTTGATATCACATTATCATGTGTCAGACATTAGAAGTGTTTGGAAAATTCTTCAGTTTAGTAGTTCTTCTTGGAAAGTGTGATAATGTCTTCATGAAAAAACTATTACTCTAGCTTTTATTGGTGCCATTGATAAAGTACTGCCTTACCACCAAAGATAACATTGTTATGGTGATGATACTATTTTTTGGAGGGAAATGAATGCATAAATACTGAGATTTAATTTTACCAAGAAATAAATTCTTTCAAAGTATACTAAGTGATAGTAAGCATGGCGAGTTATGAAAAAAATAAACAAATACGTAAAATAATTTTTTTTTTACTACCAATCATATTGCAAAAGTAATTTACATTATCTCAAAAATTTAACAATAAAAAGTGTACATATAAATTTTAATAAATCACTTATTCATTGTAATATTTAGATTTAATAATATAATTGATTGTAAAATTGATCAAAAAGCAGAAAATCATAAAACTATCCAGTTATAGGAATTTAAAACAAACCAAATTGCATCTAGAGGAAATTTTAAAATATTAACATTAAAATAGAAATAAATGTTAGTAAAGGAATTTGAAAATATATGTTTTTGCTTCTCTTTTAATAATCTCCAAAAAGAAAAATGTTTTCATGTAAAAAAAAACCCTAAAACAGTTGTTTGGCACATTGGTAAAATCACATCTTCATGTAAAAATGTCAATTCTGGAACAGTTAATGACAGAAAGAATCTTAAGGCCTGTTTGCAATATGATACAAACCAAAAAGTAGACCAAAGAACATTTTTTGTTTCTGAAAATGCAAAACAAAACTAGATAATGTGATATAAGCAAAAGTGAAACTAGAAATAATATAAAATAACCAGGAGCATATACAAGTCAATATAAACAAAGATTAAAAAACTTAAAAGCAAAAATACAAAACAAAGGATAAAAAGCAATAGCAGCAGTTAGCCATCATAAACAATATGCGAGGCAAAATTATCTTTTTACTGTGTTGCTGTGGTTAGTTTATTTTTCACATAAGTTATTATTTTATTTGTATTATGAGCAGAAAAAATTGGAATATTTCATTTCCACTTTTGCTGTATTCTTTCTTCCATTTTCAAGTTTCTTGTTTCCTTGATATTTTTATTTCTACCTATATTTCTCTTTTAGTGTCAGTTTTATATCCTATTTTTCCTTAGTGTTTTCTTTGCTTCATTTTCAATTATACACTTTTTATTTTTTTTTCATTCATAATTATATATTTTTGTCTTTTACACATATTTATTTATTCTTTCTTTCCCTTTTCACTTCAATTTTTTCACTATTTTCTTCTATTTTGTCTCTTACACACATTTCTTTCTTCTCTCTTTCCTTTTTCACTTATTTTTCACATTTGATTCTTTCCTTTTTCACTTATTTTTCACATTTGATTTTCTTTTTCACTTCTTTTCCACATTTCTCTCTTCTTTTTTTCCCTTCTTTTCCACATTTCTTTCTTTTTTTCACTTCTTTTCCACACATCTTTCTTCTTTCTTTTTCAATTCTTTTCAGATTTCTTCTTTCTTTTCTTTTTCACTTCTTTTCCACATCTCTTTCTTCCTTCTTTTCTTTCTCACTTCTTTTCCACATTTCTTTCTTCCTTCTTTTCTTTTTCATTTCTTTTTCACATTTCTTTCTTTGCTTTTTCACTTCTTTTCTGTATTTCTTTTTTCTCCACTTTTCTTTGTTTCTCTATCTTTTGTTGCTAACACACATTTCTTTATTCTTTGTTTCCTTTTCACCTTTTTCTTTGTCCAAATTTCTGTTTCTCTATTTTTGACCATCATACACATTAGTTTAAACTTTATTTCCTTTTTTTATTTCCTTTCTTCACTTCTTTCTCAACTTTACTTTGTGTTCTCTATTTTTTCTCTATTCTTTCTTTCCTTTTTCATGTCTTTTCTCCACTTCTTTCTATACTATTGTTTGTCTCTATTTTTTATCACTTATATACGTTTCTTTATTCTTTCTCTCCTTTTTAACTTCTCTTCACTTTTCTTTGTTTGTCCATTTAAAAAAAAATCTTTTTTACATATTTCTTTATTTTTTCACTTCTTTTTACCGCTTCTTTCTTTCTATAATTTTCTTTGTATTTTTAAAAATTTTTTTAAAACTTTTCTACAACTTCTTTTTTTACTGCTGTTTAATATATATGTTTCTCTTTGCTCAGGAATATTTTTTCAGTTGCTTTTCAAAACAAACATATTGCTGTTTTTTTTTAAAAAGTAGAGAAACAGATTCTTTTACCTAAATGTTGCTTATAGAAAGGTTTGCATAATTGTTTTCCCATTTTATAATCTTCAAACTTTTTTACTGTTACTTTTAAAACTATACTTCTCTAACACATTTAAATTATGATGTTTATTATAATCTGTGTTATCATAAATAGGATTTATCAAACAAACATGTAAAAACATTAGTTCACTCAAAAAATTACTTAGAGTGTAACAGCAAAATCTGATAGTTAAGGAAAAAGATGAAATGATAATGATGGTTGCATGTTATCACTGATTAAATGCCTTAACTGTCAAGTATATATAACTATTTTCTCAGATCAATGATTAAAATGGCTTCAAGAGAATGAAGTAGATTTGAAAAAAAAACTATTCTCTATCACATCTCACAGACTGGTGCTACAGAATCACAAGCAAAGATCTTTTCTGAATAACAAAAATGGCATTGCTTGGAGACTTCTAACAGCACCACCAACTAAAATGGATAACACACTTTGAAAAGAAAATATGATATAATCAAAATGTTGACTTATTACATTACCTTAAACAAAAGGTTAGAAAGGAAACCCTCATCAATACTAGAAACTAGAAAGAGTGATAACACTGAACTTGAGCCCTATTTTCCTGAAAAACTGTATGAAAATTTTTAATAAATTTCATCTTAAAGCTTATAAAGAAACAGCTAATCTCACCGTTACCATTGTATTTGAACCAGATTTATATAGGCAAAATTTCAGCATGCTGAATTTGCAACTACATAACTGTTTTCTACTTTTGAGAGAAGAAAAGACCACTCAATTAACAGACTCTGAGTAGAGTACATCTGGTGCAACTGAGTTTTTCTTTCAAGATGTTTCTGTCAGGAGAAAAGTGGCTGTTTAGCACAGATGACAATTTTGATAAATTTGTGTAGCAGTTGTGATACAGATTACTCTGAATAGGAATGGTGGTGTTTGTTTATTAACCAATCATATTGGATCTATGATTACTACAATGATTATATAAAGTACACAATTTAAAAAGGATACAGACATGAAAGAAACCTTTATCAGTGCAGGATGAAACGTCTGTCTCATAATAAGCTACCAAATTAACTTTATTTATGTTTTGCACTAACAAACTAAATATTTCTGATGTTAGTAAAAACATTTATGATTAATCACCAATTTTTAAAAATTTTTATTTAAAATTAGTTTTAGCAAGTTATACTATTCAATTCCTTGTTGTAGATTGAAAAATCAGGCAAAAATAGATTGTCAATGGTCAACAACTGATGCAAGCATTACTTATAGTATAGGTCTATTATTGAGATAATTTAACTGTTTGGAATTTTTAGAAGTTTTCAATTTCATCATAACTTGTTGGTAAATATAACAAGCATGCATATCAGTATTTCCATTTCATGATTTTTATTTTTCTGTTTATATTTAATTGGTGATTAGTTTTTTTAATTGGTCATTAGAAAAAAAGATAATTCTTTTCTGTTAGAGAAAGGCTACATGCCTGAATAAAAAAAAATCTGTGTAAAGTAATAAAAAAGTGAATTTTGATTTGAAAAGCCAAAATATATTTAAATGAAGCAGAGAAATAATGACAGGAAGAAAAACATTGTTGGTTTAAAGCTGTTTAGGAACATTTGTAAGCATCTGAAGTCAGTCAAAAACATTGAAAGGAATTTGTTGCATTTCGAAATCTTAAGTAATAGCTTGGGAATTAGGGTTAATACATTTTTTCATGGTAATTATTTGGATGAGCTTTTTGTTAGGATACCTAGACTTTTTGAATTTAAGCACAATATTAGATTGGTAGTGAGGTCTCATTCATTTATTGTAACAGAAACTGAGATATCTAAAAAAAAGGGATGACATGTGGAATTATAACAATCTAAGCCTGTGGACTAAATAAAGGTTTTGGTTTTAAAAGGCCAGAGTGTAAAACAGCTGAAACATTGTGAATATGGTAATAAAGATGAGGATAACAATACAAATTATACCTCATCTTAGAAATATAGACAAAAGAATTTAACTCAAATGGCTGCAAATACACTGGTCATAATTTTCCTAGAGATGTGACACAAGACTCTTTCTAATCATAGAAACCCAGAAATACATAAATAGATACAAAAGCTATTCTGTTCCAATTGTGTATCAGGGTCTGCCAAATAATCTAACTCCTTTTAATGGAATGGAGAGGTACTGCCTGCAAGACTGACCTTAGGAACTAGGCTTATACTTTTAATTGCTGATCATGAATAACTAGAGATTTATTTGACAAAAATAAGTTGCCATATGCATAAAGGAAGCGAAGAAGCATACAACATTTATGTTTAACATTTTTTGTCTTTACTTGTGGGTTTCAATTTGAATTTAAAGCCACTTTTCAATTTATTTTAATTCAAGAAGTACAATCAAATAAATTCAGGAAAAAAGGAGTTTTTTATTGATTTTGAAGCAACCATCAAACTCAATCTTTTTTCACATATGTCTGAAAAAAATAATTCTTCTTGAAATTTCAATTGGAAAGCAGAGAAAATAAAAAAGTGGTGGCTACTTCTGAATTAAGAATTTTTTAAAAGTTATTTAAGATATTCAATAAAATAGATGGCATCAAGCCATTATTGTGCAGACATTACAAAAAACATTAAATATGAATTATTTAAAAACAGTCTGACTCACTGCTGAGTTGACAAAACAAAATTATAGAAAAAACTGAGATGTCAAAGAAATAAACATTTAAGAATGTATACATAAAATAATAAGGAAAAATATAAATAAAGCTGAATGTTTACATTGTCACTATGGGTGACATAGTTTGTTTTTTTTAAATTTCAAAATACTGTTAAATTTCTTCTCAACTGAGCTCAGGTGTGTGACAAACACCAAAAGAAAATTGAGGTGCCATCACCAATGTGATAATGTTTTCCTCTTGAGTCCTTTTTTGTTTTTACTTTTCAGAAAATAGCTTTTTTTTTATTATTACTAAAATTCTCTGTACTTTATAAAGAATAAAATACACATTTTAATTTAGAATAGCTAATGCCTCAATGTGTCTTCAAATCCTGCATGCTGATTTCTTTGGAATTATTCAGCATGCTGTATGTAAGAAAACATGATATTAAAATTCATTAGATAAACTTAATTTTGGCACAAGGCCAAGGGTATGTGGTACTAAATGAGGATGGAGATAACCTTTTTAAACACATAACAGCTTTTCTTTTCAGGGTCTGAGAGAAGGCATGTAACGAATTTCAATACTTTGTTAGTATATTCTCTTTTTAGAAAATGAAAAACTTCATTTATGTTCTGAATTTTCTCTAGCCATCTTTATTTTTTCATGATAAATATTCAGTTAATTATCAGATTTTCATTGCCAGATATTGCGGGTAACTCAACACCTTCTTTGTACATATGTTTAATAAAAATGTTCCTGATCTATACATATGAACATTTTGGCCTTTATATGTTGTTTTCATGATTTTAGTCATAAGTTATTTTTTTAATCATTTCACCTCAAGCAAGGTAATAATGCCACAGAGATTCCATGGATTACTGAAAGTGAAAGAAGATGAGAAAATGTTAGTGAGGAGTAAGGATAATTAAAGAACAGGATTCAAGAAGACAGACAGTCAGTCAGTCATGTGCCATGCATGATACACATTTATGTGATCATGTATCTTTCGATACATGACTGACTAGGCAGATTTTTTCCTGCAGTAAGTTTCCATTTCTTTCTGTGGTAAACCAGTTGTCATCCAAAGCTATAGAACCTGGTCTGTCCTGCTATTTATCCATAGCTGGGAGGCGGAAAGAGGATTCATACCTTTCCCAAGGGTATTAGCATGTAAGTGAATGTAATGGATTCAAGTGGAATTCAAGCTTGGCTCTCCGATTCCTCAATCCATTACTCCACTGTAGTGATGGTAATTGATGTTACATTTAAAATTTGAAGATTGTAGGTGACAGGAAAGCAAGAAACCAGAAGAGAGAAGTGTGACAACAAAAACTATTGGTATAGAACTTACAGTTAAATGTAACTATTTTAACAGTAAAAGAATGAGACATAGTTACCAGTGTAGTAATCCATCTAAATTCATGCAGTTGAAATACCAAGAAGGAAAGCTTGTTAGAACAATTCTTTTAATCATATCACTCCATTCAAGGCACTAATGCTACTAAGACATAAGGGGTTACTGAGTTTGAAAGAAGAAGAAAAAAAGGAATATTAAGGAGTGAGAAGAATAGAAGAGAAATCAAGACAGTAGATAATGATAGACATTGCATTTAAATTTTTGAAGATCAAAGTTGACTGGAAAACATGAAACTAGAAGAGAATTCCACAAATGAGAAATGCAAAAAAAAAAAAAAGAACAAAAAACAAATAAAAGAAACTGTTAGCATAGAACTTATAGTTACAACAAGCCAATTCAACTGTGAATTGGTGAGATCTTGCTGCCAATCTAGTACTGCATTTAAATTCATGAAGTCTAGGTACCATAATTAATAGTTCATCTGAACAATTACCATGAAAATATTTATATAAAAGGCAC